TTATTGTTTGGCGAGTCGTGCTGATGCTGCTAATACCCCCGTCACACTTAATATTGGAATCAGCAGGAATCAAGAAGAATGAGGCTGAATAAAGAATCTTAAAAATTCGCACCACATTCGGGAAAAAAGTTTAAATTGACCTTAATTATTGTAAGAGTACCGTTGAATACCCAGAATGCGCTTGAATTGGCCTGGAATGATGAGTGCACTTTCGGTTGTTTTAGCTCTCAAATGCAGTTCGAATGTAGTTGGAAAACTAGGAATATCTATAATGCTGTCAGAAGGCAGTAAGAATATTTAGAATATACTTTGAATGGCGTACTAGTTAGTGTAGTTCGATTGCTGGCAAAATTAATATTTCACCTCATCCGAGGCGCATTCGAAACATGGCGGGATTTTATACCCCCGTCACACTAGATGCGGAATGATTAAGAATGGCGTCGAAAATACAAATCTTTGTGCATTCCAGGTTATTCAAAGAGCATTCTAAAAATTCCGAGTGCATTCCAAATATTTTTACTCATTCTTGTGACCGGCTGGAATATTTTTGTCATGTCAAAAACTTTCGAAGTGCATTCCAAGTGGAAAATTATCGAATGGCATTTGAACAGTATTCTAACTGCACTATGACTGCATTCTAAATATTCTCACGGCATTCCGACAGCATTCGAAACATTCTGATCAGTTTCCATTCCAGTGGCGTTATTTATACACTCACTCAAACATGTTAGAAAGTAATTTTAATTAAGTATTTTAGGTATTTCAGCTGCATTATGTTTGAATTCATTATATTTTAAACCATCATTGGCAGCCATACCGGGAGCATTTTGACTGCATTTGAGTTCGCTTCATATATCATTCGAGACACCTTCCAACATACTTCAGCCTGCATTCGACCAGCAGTCAAACCACACTCGTACGGCATTTGAATTTCATTAGAAATATTCTGACTGCAATTTGAAATTCCCTCCCGATTATGGCTCGAATTTTTCAATTAATTCATTCTGGCTGGTTCTGCTTGATTCCGGCTGGTTCCGAATAAGTGTGACGGGGGCCTTTAGTCACGTGCCAGTTCGAATATCCCTCGAATGTTATCAGAATGTTTCGAATGTTGCCAGAATGCCGTGAAAATATTTAAAATGCAGTCATAGGGTGTATTTCCAGAGATTTAGATCGATCCAGGGATTAAAATTTAGATCGACCTAACTCCCTGGGGGTTCACGCTAAATTGCAGTCAGACGAGCGCGCACCATAGTTAATAAACTTAATTACCCCTTACAGCTTTTAGTAGGCGGGACAGACGCTTAAGCCGGTCAAGCTGACAGTAATCAAGTGAGACTCCCCACAGGGATCTAAAAATCTATGGAAATGGGGTGATAGTGTAGTTAGAATACTATTCAAATGCCATTCAAAGATTTTTCACATGGAATGCACAAGAATGGGTAAAACTATTTGAAATGCACTCGGAATTTTTAGAATGCTCTTTGAATACCCAGGAATGCACAAGGAATTGTCTTTCCGACGGCATTTTTGTTCATTCTGCCTCTAGTGTGACGGGGGTATAAGGTACTCCCACCGAGTTTACCCATGCCAACGGCCCTTGGCAACGAAGGCGGGGCACAGACCGAGCCACCGGTGCCGATGGGGGGAGCATCAAAATCCCCAGAAAAAAATATTTTTGTTCAAAATGTAAAAACGTTAGATACACATTTAACCAATAATTAGACATAAAAAAACCCAAAATGATGATTTTAGCCGTATTTGGGTACATCCACCCCTTAAAATGCTTTTGCCAGACGTTGTAACAAGTGTAACTGACCAAAAAGGCTTAATTAACTGTAAAAACACACACACACTTGATGTTTTGGGCAAAAACTGATGGAAATATGAAATATTATAGTTTTGGTACCTAATTTGCATAATTTATGCAAATTATGCCAATTTATGCATCGATATAGATTGTCCCTATGGATGATTTTTTTTCTTTTGGCCCAAGAAACATTTTTGCCTAATTAGACATTTGTACTACAAAATACAACGTTTGCCAATTTTTTGGTCATAAACAAGCCTACATGTAATGCGGAAATAACAGGCTTCAAATACACTACCTTTACGAAATTATTAGAATTTTACTATGTACAGTTGAATGTGCTTTATAAAGACCCGCATTTTCTCTCTTGAACAGATCAGTTGATCTGTTAGTATTTCTTTAATTAATCATTTTCACATTCATATTGGCGGCATGGAAAATTCAAAAATGGCTTACTACTCAACAGGTTACGTATAAACTACACTTACCTTCCTTCCAGGGAGCTATAACAGAAAATACACTATGCACTAATTCATTTAACTTCACGGACAAAGAACAGGTTATTGTCTCGTGTATCTTTTTCCTAGTTTTCGCACAGTTGCTATGGTACTTGTAGTTGATTTTAAAAGTGGGACTTGCGCCAATCCATTTGCATTACTTTTCCCGCTGGTAAATACATTGATAGTCCTAAGCAATTCAAGGCTTTGACGCGTGCTGTGTGATGTTCTTCCTCCTCCCTACATGAGAATGGAGCCTGTTACTTTATTACACATTAACCAAACTATTGTATCCTCAAAACAATATCACATCAAATAGTTTAATCAATCTTTTTTTAAGCCGAATACAATTAATCATCGATCAAAAGCTTCACTGTAGGTGCTGTTCAATAGCTTCGCTGAATGAACACATCGATTGATTGAATACATCACTGCTACAGTTAGCAGTGCCCCAGTCACATCCAGATTGGACACATCTCTATGGGTGTCAAAATGAAAAAAAAATCAACTTTTATCGCGGATTCAGGAGATCGCAGCAAGGATCCGCAAAAGATAACCATACAAAATATAACCCCTCTACTCAAAGTTATGCTTGGCAGAGGCTGCCCATTCGGCACGTATTCTTTGTAAGCTTTTAACATGCACACTCATGTTTTTGATATTATTCTCTTTATCTATTCGAACTAGCTTAATTTTATTCTCACTCCTTGAATACGTTCTTCTGGCCACTTACTTTTAAAACAAAGAACTGGCACACTAAAAACCTACATGTATGGCCAGGGCCGTAGCCTCCGGGGGGGGCAGGGGGGATTTGAGGTCCAAAAAAATAATAGCAAAGGTAAAAAAAAATAATTGCAAAGTTGGTATCAATTCTGTGAAAAAATGCACTCTGTTTACAAAGGTGTACTGTTTTTAGCCAACTCATTTCATGCCAAAAAGCTCATCCTCCCTTCGGCAGCTATCCCCCAGGCCAATTGGCGTGTTGTGTTAAAAAATGACTGTACTTATGGCAAAATGAACCCACAGTTTCTGACTTCTGATTGAGCAATAAATATCAGTTAAAGGGATAATAACTCTTCTATGAGATCTATATTTCACAAGAAAAACATTGTGAATAACTCATAGAAATATAATATATTCTGTTTTACTACAAAAACGGCAGTTATAGCTATTTTTCTGATATCTGAATTTGTCTTTAGACCACGTGACCTCCATTGATGGCTATACTCTGTTAAAATCTCTTAAGAGATTAAAAAAAAAAACCAAACTTTTTAGAAAAAAAACTGGGACTAACTTTGAATGTAAAAATGGATTCATTAACCATTGGTAAGTATGGGGAAATTGTTGTTTACTCCAGGAAAATTAATTTTTGGCCAAAACGAAGAGTTATTATCCCTTTAAAATGCACCAGAATGCAGCTTTTTACATAGAGTTTTTAAAAATTTTCCACACCGTAGGAGGGGGACAACCCCCCCCCCCTCCCCCCCTCGTGTCCGCTTANCGACAAGACTTTTTATCGGCTCCAGCGGAATGGAACACACTGCCACTCAGTTTGCGCAAAATAGTGTCAAGGGTGGTTTTAAAAAAATGTCAAAATGCATCTTTTCAAGAAATTACATAGTTGAAATTATTTCATGTATAATATAATTTATTGGTCACAATAAAGGGATTTATGTGTGATGAGGGTATTAATGTGATGTAAGATGCCCAGGGACTAAGATAGGTTGATAGAAAGATAAGCTTCCCTCCATCTTTGCTGAAATGTAAATTATATCTTTAAGCTTGAAAATTATATAACATGCATGATTGTCATTCATAGATTTATATCCAACTCTCAGTATTTTTCATTCGTACTTTGAACATTAATCAAAGTGCAAATGTCAATAAAATGACATTTTCAACCTACATCTATTTGATTCTGTTGTTTTGTGTATGATAACAAATTTTGACAGTAAACTAGCCTCGGCGACTCCTCTCAATTCATGCACTCATAAAATTTCTTAATGTAATTTTAAAAATATCCTTTAAATATTATGTCTTAACCACGGTTTTATCACCTTTTTTATCCAAAGCTATTACTGGATATATAATTTTTTTCTAGTTGACGACGTTCTCTCTCGGGAGACTTCAGCCTGTCCACTGAGAATACAGAAGCACTGTTCTCAGTTTTGTAACATAAAAGAAACATTGACAGCGGCCGATTAATCTCTGTTTCAGGGGAAAATGTAATCTCTATTATAAAGACGTTTCTGTCATTCCCAGTTTCTGAGGTACATACAGAGTAGATTGATGGTCTTTCGTCCAACTTCGTGACAACGAGGACCCCTGTGGAGGATAATTTCCCAGTGTTTTTTTTTTTTTTTTTAATTTTAAAACAGAGTGATGTCCACCTCTGCCAAAGCCCCTTTTATAGTTGTCATGTCTAGTTACTAAATGTACCAGTATGTCCACTAATTTGGAAGAAGATTTAAAGTAGTTAACGTCGAACAAAGGGGTTGAACTCTTTTACAGTGTTCAAAAGAGACAAATTACCACTGACAATTCTCATTGCTCTCAACATACTTCCGTCTTAGGAGTTCAACCCCTTGTTGAACGACCAATGGGAGATGCTCATTTAAGATAAAATGTGACAATTTCTTTAAATCATTTTAATACATTTAATGCAACAATTCCTTTCACTACACATTAATTTAATGTTAAAACAATCACTATATACTATTAACGATAAAGACTTATGTCTAAATCATGACTTAACAAACCATCAAAAACAGCATTTAGTAAATTACATTATCACTGTACAATTACAAAATTACAAAATACCTATCAAAAACAAGATTACATAAAACGTAAATTGATAGCATTTTAGGGAATTGCTATTTAAGACATATTTGGGCTCCTTTTCTTCACTGTGTTCTCGTTGAATGTTCTTGTAAAATAGCAAGTCAAATCTCTTCTTCAAAATAGATTTTTAGTTCAATTAATTTATAAATTATACATATTTTTTTGCATCACAGATTCTCACATGTCACTTCACACATTTAAACATAATCACATTTGGTAAAGTCCTTGGTCACATGTTTGGTAATAAAGCAAACGCTATATAATCCTGATTTTAGAATTGTAGAAAATATCTGTTAGACCCATTTAAAAGCCAAGTAATATCTTGTAGGTAGAAATATCCTTACATGTCTTTGGTGTCACAAACAGTGGTATCCACTTTATTTGAAATGTCACTGGTAAGAAACAGTTATTATGCAACAAGCTCTTAATAGAGCCATAGCAAAATTATAGGTCTCCAGAAAACAAAAAAAGTTCTTGATAACATTTATCCTGTGAATTATTTCATAAGACTAATTTTCAGAGGGGATCCTTTCACATATCTTTAATGTCCTCAAACTCGCCTTTTTGTGGAAACTTAAATCCATCCCCTTTCACTTTCAGCGGTGCAAAAGGAAACAAACATGCAGCTATCCAGTTTTCACCCACAGCCCGATGCACATTTTCCATCCATCCAAGATTATACTGCTTCACATTGTGTGTTCTCTCGTAAGTTGTCTGTCCATTGAAAATGAGCAAACAGTGGTACCCAGTTAGAGCGGACGCTAATAGGAATGCTATTATGCAACCAGCGCTGAGAAATGCCACAGCAAAGGTGTAGGTCTCTGACAGTCCAAGTATCCAAGAGACAATTGGTAACGCCATAGAAACTAGTGAAGTCCAAGACAATCCACCTAGGACGGCCCAAGTGTAGTCAGCATTCATTATAACGGCATAAAACCCAGATATGGCCACATGAAGGGTGAAACAAAGGTAGTAACGGTGGTTGGCAAAGCCGATGCAGTTCCCCGTAAAGAAGCAGTGATGATCCCTCTGCAGTATGCATCGGTTACACGTGTGGCAATGGTGGGAGCGAGGGGGAAAGTTGGCCTCACATGCCGTGCAGTATCGCCACCCAGCTTTCAAAGTGCTAGGAAGAACAACATTGCCCTCGGTCGTGTCCGTGCTGAGAATGTACCAAAAATTTCCTAGAACGTTCATGGCTTCAAAAGCAATGAAAGCTAAATGGATGCAATACCATGGTGTTGCTTCTTGAAATATTGTTGGATGCACGACAAAGAGCATGTAATAAAGGCTGCTGAAACCCATGATGATAATGAAGGCAAACGCGCCCTTTTCGCTCGGAGTCTTCGGGATGTATTTCCAGAACTGAGCAGCCATTGTCCGTATGTAAAATCAGGACCGTCTTAGATATCTAAAAAGGCTCGTGTAGTGTTATTTTGTTTTCTTCACTTATAAACAGACATCGAGAAACGCCCGCTTACCAACGACACTTCCCCTGACGCTTTGTTCATTGTATGATTAGTTCCGTACAGACACAATTTACTCCTGCGTAGATTATTTAGTAGTTAGAAGTGGTTTACGTAGGGACTTTTAGTAAATAAATTTCAGAACTTTTCATTTTATCTTTTTATAAACCATTATGAAATTTCTCAGTATAAAAACAATTTGTTGTCCTTAAAATATTAAGTACTGATAAAGCAGAAATTACTTTAGGGGTCAAAGCAAAACAGATTTTGATATAAAATGTACAAGATATGCTCGCCGATAAACTCGTATACCGGTACCATCATTTCCGATCATTGCCATGATTACTGATCCCCCCCAACCCCCCCCTCCCCCGAAATGTTCAATCTAAGAACCTTATCTAAAGCACCCGAAAGCTTAATCCACACCAAAAAGTAACAAAGCTAAAATATTTTTGCTTACTGTCAAAAATATAGGCCTACAACATAAAACAAGTAAGAAGTAAAACTGGAAAAGATGTCCGCGCCTAACACTAATTTCACGTTTACCCTCAGTGAGGTCCTCAGTGTGTATAACTTTAACGAACAAGTTACAGTCGGTCAAAGGCAGTTGTAAATTCACATGAGAAGATACAAGAGTTTGTAACTAGCAATCCTTCGAGGACATCAAATATCATTTAAAAATGTAGGCCTAAAAGTCGGACCTACGCTCAAAGTTAGGCCTACGGAAAAACAACCTTTTGAGAATACGGCCTCTGAACTTAAAAATATGTAACAGTGGCGTCGAAAGTCTGATCTTGGGGTCATCTTCCCAAGGATTTCAATATGCTCTCTTTTTTATTTCCTTTTTTATTTCATCAATCTTCTTTCCTTTTTCTTTTTATGCACAGACGCAGTCTGTACATATAGCTGTCACCTGCGTCTGTCGTCGCCGTCGTTGCCGTCGCCGTCGCCGTGCACTCAGCGATAACAAGTGGATTACCGTTTTACTTTTTGTATTGAAACTTACAGAACTGATGAATATTCATAATACGCAGGTCAAGTTCGAAAATCGGCATGATCAGGCCATTTTTAGGAAAGTTATGCTGTTTTTTCACTTTTTTCAGCATTTTTGCAACACCGATATCACGATAAGTGAAAAACCGTTTTACCTTTTGGCTTGAAACTTACAGAACTGACGAATAATCATAATATGCAGGTCATGTTCGATAATCAGCGTGATCGGGTCATCTATATGGAAGTAATGCTGGTTTTTCACTTTTTTCAGCATTTATGCAACACCGATAACACGATAAGTGAAAAACCGTTTTACCTTTTGGCTTGAAACTTACAGAACTGATAAATATTCATAGTACGCAGGTCAAGTTCGAACATCAGCGTGATCGGGACATTTTTATGGAAGTTATGCTGTTTTTTCACTTTTTTTCAGCATATATGCAACCCTGATACATGTAACACGATAAGTGAAAAACCGCAAAATTTGAAGAAACCCCTATTTTGGGCACTGCTCCCATGATGACCATTTAAGGAAAATCATGTCACTTACTGTTCTCAAACTTACAGGAAAGAAACATGGGACTAAAATACAGCTTTAGTAGACAATACAGTCTGTATGTAAATTTTTCTGGGAATTAAACAGTTTTTTGTGAACATTTAATTTTTCACATATTGGCATTTTCAAGTTGTAACTTAGAACCTCCACGGGCTTGAAGACCCATGCTAGTTACATTTTCTGAAAATCCATGATACGTATATTTTATTATTAAAAATTGATGGTCGTTATGCTGTTAAGCATTATGTAATGTTGCATCAAAATAGAAGAAAACACAATTTTTGGTGCTGCTGCCATGATGACCATTATGGGAAAACCGTGTTACTTATGACTGTCAAAATTTCAAAAAAAGAAACACAGGACTAAAATGCAGCTTGAGTTGGAAAAGCAGTCTAATTGACTTCTTTTTCTGGAAGTTATACATTTTAGTGAAATATTCATTATAATCGTTTTGGCATACTCATTGTGGGACTCGGAGCTCCCATGGACATGAAGCCAAATGGTAATCAAATTTTCTTCATGCCCATGCTATTTATAGTCAATAATCAAAAATTGGTGATAATTATTCTGTAATTTATTATGTAATGTTACATCAAAATTGACAAAAATCTTTTTGCACTGCTACTACAAACATTATGAAAAGAAAACTGTGTTACTTATTATTATTTTTAACTTACAAATATGATTTTTAAGATTATCATGCAGAAAGCCAGCTCAATTGGGTTATCATTTATTATTGAATTTATGCAATTTTGTGTGAAATTTTCATTTTTCTCATTCTGGCATTTTCAAAGTGTGAACTTGAACTCCCATGGGCCTGAAGCCTCATGCTTGTTACACATTTTACTTACATCGGTATTACCTGTTGAGCATAACTAAAATTTGATGTTGAATTTGCAGTTACGCATAATGGACTTTTGCATCAGAATTGACAGTAGCCTATTTTGTGCATTGTTATTTTCTGCTTTTTGTCTGTACATTTGACAGCTTTGCTGCCTTGTTTCTTTTTCATTTCATTCTTTCTTTCTGTTTTCTTTTTTCATTCACACTTTCAGTCTTTTTTCTTTTATTCCCACTTTTTGTCTTTTTTCTTTCATTCTCAATTTTTGTCTTTCTTTTTATTTCATTTCCCTTTCTGTCAATCTTTCGTTCATTTATTCCGTCGTTTCTATATTCTTCTTTCTGCCTTTACTTTTCTTTCCCTCCTTATTTCAAAAGTATCGCTAATAAACAATTCAGACGATCACTTATCCGTCTTTTATTGCGCAATGCTATACTTAATAATCTCTTCACTATGTATCAGTGAGTCAAGACTGCGTGCGCAGCTGCAGTCTCCATTCTGTTTCCCTCGTTACCAAACTGACAGCTCCAAAGCAGCTTTTGTGCGCCACTCAAGCGTTTGACGTGCAAAGAAAGCCAATTGAATTATTCCAAACAATATTTTGAAAAGCCTCTACTCTTATGAATCGAACAGCAGTTATTTGTTGTGTATTGTATTGCATACTTCGAGTGTCTCCTTAAGCCCCCTTCTTAGAAAAACAAAATCGATAAATGTCCTAGTTTTAGACTGGGGTGAAGAAAATGGCGCTGTAGTTTGTTTGCCAAGATTGATAAAATATATGTTTATAGCGTTTCAGAAGATTCGTTTGAGTTGAGTTAGTCACGTAGCAATATCGCCACATTTTATCGTTATCATTATGGCTGGAGCTGGTGACATTCTTTTGCTGTCGCAGTAGGGGGTAACACATAGACGGCTGACACCAGATACAGTGACCTGGGCAACTATTTCGGACAGCTTCAGTACAGATTAACTAACTATTAGAACTACGCTCAAAAATGGTTTATCTCTTATGACAGTTTTGAAATTAAGAACTCCGTGATTTACATGAACAGAAGACAGAAAACTAGAGGTTGAAGGTAAGCAACTTTGTACTACATGTACTTTGCTGGACCATGTTGTAGTGGTACATGGCTACAGATATCGCGTGAATAAGAATCACCTCACCCTGTCCATCTCTCCTTTCTCTCTCTCTCTCTCTCTCTCTCTCTCTTACACACACACACACACACACACACTAACTAACGGAGATTAAGACTTATATAAAAATACGCGCTTTATCGAGAGTAGTCAGATCAGTTTCGATCAGGTGCGCACTTGTCCTTACGAGGACACGATTCATAAAGGACCATGCGGTACACATGTATGTAGCCACATTTCACATGTATTGTGCTCTTATAGTAGTTTTTTCTGTATTATTCACAGCCTGGGGTAACACATTCTATCAGAACAGTTATGTTTTTTTTTTTCATTATACAGAACAATAAATTAATGACATTTTAGGACTGATGACAAGACGATTTTGTCCTTGTGCGCGGATACAATTTTGAATCGATCTGATGACTGGGCTAAATGGTTATTGTGTTATCATCGGGCCAAGGCTTGAGTATTATAGTCTTACAGTGAACGTGTCAATAAGTCATTGATTATGGTTTGCGTATAGTTTTATTCATTTGGTCTGGTGGATCCAGGATTGTGCCTAGAGAAGGGGCGGGGAATGGGAACAAGCAAACAAGCATTGCCTCACGAAATATTTTAATACTGTTAAAACAATAGTCGAGGCAATTGACTTCATTGCATAGGAAGGAAAATTGCCTTATCCCTAGTTTTGTCCCGTGCCACTCATAATAATTTTTTGATGTTTATTTTGTTTGTTTTAATCTGTTGTTGTTTCTCGCGTGGCTGTCGATATAAAGATCAATGTTTCTCTTTTCACTTTGCTCTTACTAAATTGATTGCCTATGCTATAACAAATATGTCTGAGGGCAGTTGTATTGGTGTGGTTTGTTAACCAATACTAATTATATTAATTATTTTATGTTTCAATAAGGAATTTCAATAGCATTGAAACATCATTTCGAAGGAAATCATTTATTTTACATATCTTATTTTTTATGTTATCCACATTATAAAGATAAAGTATAGCTATTCTTGGAAGTTTTACAGAACTTTGCAGTAACTATAGCGTTAAGTCCTTTTCTGATAATTTCAGAAATGCTGGTTTATTGACTGTGTCGGAGTTATCGCATTGAGTGTAGACTATGGGAAGCACTCCGTCTAAGCCCTCCTCTGGGGGGAATGCCCCCCAGGCCAGGCAAGCCCCAGGGAGGCCCCAAGTCGTGCGAGTTCAGCCTAACACACGTGGGCAAATAACATATATACCACCAGCACAACCTCAGCCGCAAGTAATGTGTATTACGACGGTAAGGATAAATACTCTGGTCTTCTATTTTTTACCATCTACTTTTCATCTAATAATTGCACGATATTTGTTTCAAATATTTTATGTTGCTGTAAGTGTTTTTTGGTTTTTGGTTTTTTTTAATTTTGTGAAAGAGCGATAAAGTTTAAGATTGATACAATAAATAAATGTGCGCCAAGTTATTCAACGTTTTCATTTTCAAACCAGTGCTTATTTATCTGTGTT